GGCAATGGGAATCGATCCGGTGACTCACAAGCCCTTTTCCCAAATCCTTGCAGACTGCGGCAACATAGGCGAGTTCCCCAAGGCTCAGACGACCCATTTTAGCTCCCTATCGAAGGACCTAAAAAAAACTGCAATCATTTTCAATAAAAGTACCAAAAATCCCATAAATGCCCTCAAACTCTTATTCCTCCGACTCATTTCTCATCGTCGTCATCATCATCATCATCTTCACCTCCAATCGATCTATACTCCCAACTTCAAGCCGTGAATTTTATCACCGAGGCCTCGAAGTACACAAAAACCGAAAACAATACCGCGAAAGAGTGTGAAAGTTATTCGTGCTTTAGTTGGGGTGATTTTTTTCTCGAGGAACCCTTCTCGGGCCAAGAAGCGGACGGGCAAGAGAATAGAGGGGCATTTTTGGAATTTGATGAAAATTTGAAGGGGAAGGGAAAATGTGGAGCCGCCGAGGATAAAAATGTCGCCTTTTTCGAAGGGCCTTCGAACTCGAAGTCTTTCGTGGATGCTGTTTGCAGTATTTTTGGGCAATTGGTAACCGAGTTACCCAGACTCGGGTCATTCTCAAAGGAAGGCTATTCGGACACGGATTCAATCAACGATTGACTCACACAAGAAAATAAAATAAAAGTCCTAAACACTCTACTCGCAATTTGGGGTTTGGATTAAGCTAAGAAAGCAAATTAAGCTAAGACGAAAGCAAGACTCAAATTTTATGGCAAGCAACACCTCAAATTGCAATAAAAAGGAAAATAAAGAGAAAAAGAACAAGGTACTCCTAGACCCGAGATGTAAAGAAGGCCCTCATAGGTTCGGGAACATGCAACCAAGCAATAGTCACTCGTGATCAATTAATCACTCAATCAATTCTCGCTCACGCAATCAATAACAATATCACATAATCCCTAGCCTACGAGGATGATAGCATAATCAACTCATGGATGTGTCTATCTTAACCCTAGAATAACTCAATAAGTAAAGACAAGCAAGACTAACGAAATCATGAACCTTAAGCGAAGTCTCCATGTTGTGTACAAATTATTCTTTTTACCGAGTACCGAATCTAAAGATTTGTTCCCCGGGTCGATCTCACAAGGAAGGCTGTTCGGAACTTAGTTTTGATATCGATAACACATAAAAAGAAAACAAACCTAAACACTCTAATCGAATAAGGATGGATGAATAATTATCAGCTAAAAAATAATAAAAAGCAATAACCTACCTAAGAAAATAAACGAAACAATGAAAAAGAAG